CCGAATGGAAATGTGGGTAAAACAGGAGGCTTTAGCATCGCCTTAAGGGGATGCTAAACCGATTTACCGAACTTAATCGAGGTCGATAGTACAGACTTTTTAAATTCCAAATTCGATAATAGTGGTGACATCTTTGATTCATTTCTTACATTATATTATATAATATATATCATTTTGTCTTATTCAAACGCATACATCTGTCCTTATCTAACATATCCCAGCACCATCTATCGCAAGACCGCGCAACTACTGTTACACGGAATTTCGGCTCTGTTGACAGTCCCAGTCTTCGCAAAGCACCTGTATACATGTATTTTTCATTCGGCGATACTTTTTTTTTAGACTTTCAGTCTTAGTTTTACAAACTCGGTATCGTTCGTTTCAATGTGACTTCAGTTGCACGCTTATTTTCAAGATATGGACTTTAAAACTCGTATATCAAGCAAATATATATCTGAGGTGACAGCTGTACGAGCCAAAAGTAAGTGAATTTTTTTAACTTTTTTTCGATTTCTTTATAAAATCCAGTACAGCTGAGGTCCTGTTTGTGCATACTTTAATTTATGTAATAATACTTTTGCAATCCGTAAATCTAAGTGAGTGAGAATGAGTGGATGTTCGACTATGGATATACTTTCGGTGTTTAGAAAGTCTGATTTTTAATTTTCTCTCTGTTTGTCCCACATAGGAACCACCACAATCACGACAATTGATCTTGTAGATTACGTTTCTTTTTAATTCATTATTTAAAGAATCTTTATGAACCTTAATAAATTGATTCAACTAAAAAAAAGAAACTTTTTGACAAATCCCATTAATTATATTCTTGAATTTATTCGATATCTCTTCTAAATACGGTATGGAAAACCATTTAACCCGTTCTTTAGGTAAGTTGTTATTTGATCTTTTCGTTGAACAAGAATTTAATTTATTTATTAATGTTTTAACTCTCTCTCTTGCATTAATAGTATCGAACGTATCGAATATAAAATTCAATGGATAATCGTTTTCCAAAAGTACCCGGTAAAAAATTTTTTATTCATAAATATGTATAAACATATATAAATACGCATAAATATTCATAAACATGTATAATTATTAGACTGCGGAACTTTATGCAAAATACTTAACTGAATATTAACTATCGAACAGTTTTAGCAGTCAATCGTTGTTCGTTAAAGAGTTATTAAAAGGTGAAGTAAAAAGATTGAGATTGCCATCTGTAAATTTACAAAATTGCAAAATATGCATTTTATGCAAAACATTCAGTTAAGTATTTTGCATAAAGTTCCGCAGTCTAATAATTATATATGAAATATGTCCATACATGTTCATACATCCATTTTTCTTTTGTAAAATTATTTTTTAGTGTAATAGAAATAATAATACTGATGTGCAAACATTAAAAATAACTAAAAAGGTAATTTTCGCACTATTTGTTTTAGAAAAAATCAAGTTTGAAGAAATGTAAGAAAATTATTTATGTATAATTATATATAAAATTATGTATGAGCAGGTTTTTTTACCTTTTTCCAAACTTGTTTTTTTCTAAAACGAATAATGCGAAAATTATCCCTTTAATTATTTGTTATGTTTTCATATTACTATTATTATTTTTATTACACTAAAAAGCAATTTTACAAAAGGAAGAAGGATGTATGAATATGTATGGACATATTTTACATATAATTATACATGTTTATGAATATTTATACGTGTTTATGTATGTTTATACATATTTATACATATTCATGCCTGAAACATTTTTTACCGGGTATCCTTACAACAAATTCAAGATTCTTTTTGTGAAATTGTGGATGTGAGATATAAAAAACTTTATCTACGTATATAAATTCTATGTCTATTAACACTATTTTATTGTGGTAACATCATTGCGCTTACCAGGTATGTAAATATGAAACCGGAATTTACCAATAGATGGCTATAGCTGTCAATGTAGTTGCCGTCAGATCGCGTCATTGACGCCATTTCCTTGTTCTGACATCTGACAAAGATTTTCAACTCACTACAATACAAGTTTCATACAACAGTATAGTTTGTAATAGCGTTGAACATGTCGAATTTTGTGCCTGGAAACTACGATTTACGGACAGCATTGATTTTCTGTTACCATTTGAAGAAAACTGCTGCAGAATCGCATCGAATGCTTGTCGAAGCTTACGGTGAGCATGCTCTTGGTAAATCACAGTGCTTTGAGTGCTTTAAAAAAATTCAAAAATGGCAATTTTGACGTGAGAAACGAAGAACGTGGAAAACCACCGAAAAAGTTTGAAGACAGCGAATTGCAAGCATTGTTGGATGAGGATGACGCTCAAACTCAACAATAACTCGCGGATCAATTCAATGTGACACGAGAAGCCGTCTCCATATGTTTGAAATCCATGGGAAAGATCCAGAAGATGGGAAAATGGGTTCCACATGAACTGAATGAAAGACAGCAGGAAAACCGAAAAACCACTTGCGAAATGCTGCTCGCCAGGTACAAAAGAAAGTCATTTCTCCATCGAATTGTGACTGGCGATGAAAAGTGGATATATTTTGAGAATCCTAAGCGTAAAAGATCATG